GCCTAAGCAACTCTGGCAAGCCCAGAAGTTCCATAAATTGTACATTATTTTGCTTATTTTCATTTCCTAAACATTGATAAGGAGAAAAATTGTCACATCTGTCATGGCAGAGAATCCTTTAAAGTTTCTGTGTTATTCATAGTCATTTACAAACAATGCCATATGCGATTATTGTCATACATGTATTGCAATTTGGAGGGTTCAGCCCTTATGGGGTAATGTGACAAAAATAAATAAATTCCTATTGATGACATATTCATTATAAAACCTGACATATTAAAAAAGGTCCTCAGGTAGTCAGCCAAATTTGATAAAATAATATTAATATTTAAATCACAAAGTGGCCAAACTGAGCCCAGTCCCTAAAGATGTAAACAAAATTCAATTTTTGACATCAATTTCCTTTTTGTCCCTGCACTAATAGGATGATACCTTTGCCTGGATGGGAGGACTCTGCTTTCATTGCTTCTCAGTGTGTGCCATAGAACAAACAATAAAAATGCTATGTGTCAAGATGTCAGATTTCAGAGGTCCTGCCTGTAAATTTTTTAGCCTCTGATAATGACTTTTTGCAAACAGGTGATAAAATGCAATTGCTCCCTCCATTTTAAGCAAGAGCAGTGTACGATAAGCATCCTGGAGAAGAAGAAATATATTGTTCCACAGCTTGATATATTCATAGTTTTAGACCTACACGTTGCATTAAATGAGTTGCCATCAATCAGCCAGGAAACGTTTCAGGTCTTCAAAGCATGCTATGTTTTAGAGAACCAAAGGTTATACTGCAGAGCCCTTCATCACGAGGACAGGGACACTGCTCTGGGAAATGGCTGTGTCCAAAGATAAAGCCTCATGGATCAAAACTCAACCCAAGAAATAAAATAGTATTTACACTTTTAAGTGGGCCTGGACCAGCTCCCAGAAACACAGCATTAACAAAGGCATTGCAGGAATGCCTTGCTGGGCTGTGTGGTGGCCCTTGGCTGTCATATCTCCCTTTCCCCAGGAGGACAGGAGGCCCATCCGCACAAGGCAGAATTCTGCCTCAGCAGAAATAAGATTGATATCACCGGCAGACTTTCATAACCAACATGAGAACTTTACCGCGTGTCTTGGTTTGTTTTGGATAAACATCCAAGTCTTGAAATTTATAGTTAGTTATTAAACTTCTGTGACTAGGGCTCCCATTTGCCTCATATTTGCACAAAAACTCCACCAGTTTTGTGCACTTGATCTCCACAGATCTTTGCAAGCAACTTGGATGTTAATGCAAGATGGGAACGTACCTCTGAGGTGAAGCAAATTCCTTCTTGCTTTGATCCTGCAGCAGAGACTTTTCTCAGGGCAGGGTCAGCACGCCAGTGGGAGGCATAACACAAACACTGCAATCAGATCCCAAGGATCCACCTGGGAACCACCTGCAAGTTCAACAGCTGCTTTTGCAGGGAAATCATGAAAAAATAAACTGCTTGTTGAAAGCACAGCTCCATCACCCTAGTAAAAAAGCTGCCTTTATCCATGCTCCCCTTCCAGAACAGAAGTGTTGACAGAAGAGCCACTGCAGAGCTAGGCTGGCTGGTCTTGTTGATGTGAACTAGGCTGGTTAGTGTGGTGAGGCTGATGTTACCACACTACTGACATGCTGATTGCAGCATGCCAAGAAGGTACTGTTAGAAGAAAGGAAATAAAGGAATGTGGCATCACCTTCTATTGGTCCAGCTTTTAAAATCTGAATCAAAGAAAGCTTGTGAAACCTGCTAGATCAAGACCACAAAGGGAAAGCAGCGTATCTAGTTTTGAATGGATTTAGGGTAAGAAAAGGAGATGGACAGGGACATGACTTGCCTGCAATCTACCAGTATTGTACAACAGCTCTTGGTTAAAATATGCTTCTGGGCTAAAAGATCCCAGAAACAGGAGGTCTCTTCAGCACAGAGCAGAGGCACTGAGGGGAGGCCTCATGGCGGCTGCAGCTCCTCACAGGCACCTCTGCTCTCTGTGACCCCGACAGAGCCTGAGGGAACGACATGGAGCTGTGTCAGGGGAGCCGCAGGTTAGGGATAGGGTCTGCACCAGGTGGGCATGGAACAGCCTGGCCAGGGCAGTGGGCACGGCCCTGAGTGCTGGAGCTCAGGGAGTGTTTGGACAACGCTCACAAACACAGTTTGAATTTGTGGTAGCCTGTGTGGGTAGCTGTGGGGGGCTGGATTCGATAGTCCTTGTGGGTGACCTCCAACTCAGAATATTCTATCACAGTTTAGTGATGATACTCAGTAGGTGAAGTTGATAGTTTGCTCAGTGATCTTGAAGGCTTTTTCCAACCTAGATAACTTTATGATTATATTAAGTAAGCAGCTCAGGACAGCAACCACTTCCTTTGCCCTTGCTGCCAGGAGAAGCACCATATAACTACATTTGCTTGCTGCACCAGCCATGCATCCGACCGCAGTCATGTGCTGAGCCCCACCATCCCCTCCATCACAATCTCTGGGGAAAGGGGCCACCATGGTGGCCAGCAGCTGAGGGAGGAACAGATGGCCTCAGCCATCCCATAGCAGCTGCTGCCGTGCCTGCTCAGGAATTGCTGCAAAGTGCCAGTTTTCATTAGGTGAAGCACTGAGCATTTGTTTGGAGGTAACTGCCTTTCATCACAACCTGCACGAAATGAATTTCAAATGGTAACCTGGAGATTAAATTAAACTCTGTTAGTCCAAGTCTGTTTTCAAAACAGGTTTTAACCATTCTCTCATTTTTACACCTGAGCACAGAGACAGTCTCCCCACCACCAACACTGCAAGCACGTAGAAAACTGAGCCACGAAGATGAACACTGAAAAAGAAGTTACAGAATTTAAAGAAGATGGGGAAAGCTGTTCCATCCCTGGCTCTCTGCAGCAGTTGCAACTGGGGGCCAGAACATGGCTTTGCTTAATAGTAGGGCTGGATGATTGCACTGTCAGAAACAGCCATGCTGTCAGCCCACATACCTACACACAGGTCGCCTGGGATAAAGGATCGCCTGGAAAGAGCTGTTGTGGCAGGAGCAGCGCTCATCCCACTCCTAGCTCACTCTGTTGCTGCCAGGCAGTGATCCATAAGCCTGCATGAGAACAGGGAGTGAGGGGCAAGGAGGGGAGCTGAGTATTTGAACGTTCACTTGGCTACATATTGTGAGATGTTTTACCTGCAAATAGGTTAAAGATCATAGTGAGGAGGAGAGAAAACATGGAAGAGCAGATTCATGGTTTTTCTATTGGTCTAGCATGCATTTATTGTAAGGTCAGAAAACATAGGAAAGCCTCATCTTAAGAAAGAAAAAGCTCAGATCAGATTCTCATGTACCCTACAGCTCTAAGTCTAGCAAAGAATTCTGATTAACCTGAATGACAGCACTCAGAGCTCCAGGAGAGCTCAGTGAAGCAAATCAGGCTGAACTAAAATTAGCGGCGTCTAAAATTCAGCCGTCTGCTTGGCATCCACACATGATGCTTCCCTGGCCCCAGACCCATCACATCACTCAGCTTTCCCACTGCCGTCAGCTCCTTGCTTTCAAAAGCACTGCTGAGTGAAATGCTGCTGTTCACACGCAGCCTGCACCTGCCTGGAGGCAGCAAGCCAATTGCTAGGCATGGCTATTTTTTTTCCCCGATATTTCCTCCAATGTTTATTTGCTGATTGTTTTCCAGGCAGATGGAATTCAAGATGTGAAGTGGGGACTGGCTGTCAGTGAAAGGATGGAAAAAGACCAGAGATTATGAGACAAGATCATAGGTCCAAAAATACACCGGGATCCTGCACGGGTCAAAAAGGATACAAACTGTCCTGAGGAGGACAGGGGGGTTTGTGATGGTTCACATGCTATAGGGCAGTAAGACATGGCTTGCAGTGTAAGGGGATTTGGCACAGAAAATGAATGTGGAAATACAGCACAATCACTGTCCTACATCCCATGTATGAACTATGCACAGAGAATGGCCACTTACGCACTCACTACCCTGAGGGTGATGGGTCAGTGGGCATGGTGGTTTTTGGTTGGACTAGATGATCTTAGTGATCTTTTCCAACCTTAATAACTTTATGATTCACACCCAAGCCCAGGCTCTCGCTCACAGGGTCTGGAAGGACTGGTGTGACTGCTGCAAACCAGTTCAGCAGCAGCAGCCCCAAAACCAGCTCTTCCAAATCTCTACTTGAAGATTTTGAGCACAAACTTGGCTTAAGTAAGAGCCAGAAGAGTGGATAACAAGTAGTCAAGTCAAAGGGTCCAGTATTTGTCATCTCAAGGGGCAGTTTCCCCTAGGGAGCTTGAAGAGGCTCCACAAGGCAGGAGGTCAGAGTAGCAATCTAGTTTCCCATGTACTCATTTCCATCTGTAGAAAAGCCCTCCAAAATACTGGGAAATAGTGAATGTGTTTTTCTGCCTGAAAAAGCAGCAAAGTAGGAATCTTTATTGATGATGCAAAATGTGTCGGTGGCAACTAGAGAGTAAGGGCACTCTGTGAAAGCCAGCAGGAAGGTGGATGAGCAGCACAGGAGCAGTCCAAATGCCTGGGCAGCAAGGATATGTTGGAACAAACCATGCAAAAAGTAAAGCAGCACTTCATGAAGACAGGGTGGCCAGTAATAAATCAAGATTAAGGCAAAGAGAATCTAAAGGGAGCACAAAAACAGATTTACCCACATTACAGCAGAAGAGATGACAACAAAGTAGGGAGAGAACAAGAGTAAAGAATATAAATGAATGTATTAAAAATCTATACTGATTTTCTCCTCATACCAAAATGCAGAGATCGTTTTAAGAATCTGTCAAGGAGCAAAACAGAGACAAGAAAACATACATACTGCGGAGCTTGCTGTCATCAAGACCACAGATCTCTGATGACTCATATCATTAAGTCTTCATTTATACAGCTAGATACCAAGAGAGTTTCAGGAGCAATAAAAAGCCACATGAGCTATAATTATACCTATTTCAATAACGCACATGAGAACGAGACTCACCTCTCAGAGAAGTCTCTGTATCTACTTATTGCAAGGGCTGCTCATTCATCTTCCTGAGCATTTCATTTCAGATGCAACACTGCACTGTGGATATAATAATAAAAACAATAATAACAACAACAACAATAGGACAGTAATCCTTATAATGAGGTTCTTTCACAAGTTTGCCATGCCACAGCCTTTGAAAGCACAGCTGCAGTTAGGAGGAGGTGCCGTGGTGCTAACGGAGGACTACCAGGTGGAAGGTGCCCAACTTACGGACAAAGAGCATTGGAAGCTGCAAGATGAGAGAGGAGAGAGTGAGAATGGGGGAGGGAGACCCAGGTGCTGGTCCTCTAACAACTGTGGATATGTATTTCATTTACTCTGCATCTATAGCCAGACTGCGTTGTGTGTTCCACATACACCTTCCCCTGATAGCATTTTGTTGCTGGATATAAAAAGCTTTTTTCCCCCTCTGCTCCAGCCCCACCACCCTGTATTCTGCATCCTTCTAGCTCTCCAAAGCAGCTCAAAGATCTCCACCAGCATTGGCTTCTTTGGCTCTTCTGCCTGTATTTGGACCCAGGTGGTGGCACTTAGCTGACTATCTACCTGGAGAGCAGGTTTCCATGGCTACCTGATACACAGCAATGCCAGGCCAGCCTTTAGTCCTAAGAATGCTTCCAACTCCAACAGTCATCTTATCTCACCAGGTGACACAGACATTAAGTCCATTCCATCAGGACCACTGAACTGGATGATTTTTATGGTGTACAAACATGAATTTTGTAGGATCTGATAAACCAAACTCATTGCTGGCAGGCAACGCACTGGGGGGAGACCACGTCTGCTTGGAGCACAGAAATGCTGGTTAAAAAGCAAGCATAAAAAGCAGTGCAACACATGATCATTTGGGTCCTTTCTCCTGTATTTAGGCTGCCTAACATTTTGCATTATAAACAATTTGTGCAAGTTTCCTGAAAGACTTTGAGATGGCTACTGTTTGCAGATCTCATATACACCAGATAGAGCCCTCAGGCAAAAGTCATGCCATTTCCTAGCCTTGTGAACCACTCTCCCAATTATATTAGAGTACATAAAACATTAAAAATGAATAGCCATTTCATTGTTCCTCATTTTCTCCACCATATATCACAGAATCACAGACTTGTAGGGGTTGGAAGGGACCTCTAGAGATCATCAAGACCAACCCCCCTGCCAAAGGAGGTTCCCTACACCAGGTAGCACAGGTAGGCATCCAGGCAGGTCTTGAACTTCTCCAGAGAAGGAGACTCCACAACCCCCCACATCCCAGCACACCTCAGAAACCTTTTAGCACTGATCCAAAATATCCCCCAGCAAAGCAATGCTTGCTGAAAGCCACTGGGGCCAGGCACTGTTTGAACACCAGTGCCACCATTGCACTGGGGGTTCTGTAGACCAGAAGATGAAGAGAACATGAGGACAAAAGGAACAGTTGGTTTCTCTAAAGTCTCCCCAGAGCCTTCTCTTTTCCAGGCTGAACCTCAGCCTGTGCTCATAGGGGAAGTGTTCCATCCTGTGGATCATTTTTGTGGCCCTCCTCTGGATGCACTCCAGCAGGTCCATGTCTCTCCTGTACTGAGGACTCCACATCTGGATGCAGTACTCCAGGTGAGGCCTCACCAGCACAGAGCAGAGGGGCAGGATCACCTCCCTTGTCCTGCTGGCCATGCTTCTTTGGATGCAGCCTAGGAGTTGGTTGGCTTTCTGGGCTGTGAGGGCACAATGCTGGCTCATGTCCAGCTTGCCATCCACCGGTACCTGCAAGTCCTTATCCCTCCTGCTGCTCACGCTAAAAGAGAAGCTAGCATTGCCCAGAAACACGTTACCTGATGAGACTCAAGGCATGCATCAGCCCCCGATTCCTTGCAACCCTCAAGTTTGTTTGAAGTTGCAGATCCATGCTGACTTTTCCTGCTTTTAGCAAAGGGTTGCCAACTGTTTATTGCAAAACTCCTTTCTGGTGGCAACGGGCCACACAGGTCCCATAGCAGTGTTATTTTCCCGCTTGGATAAGCACAAATCTCATAATCAGGAGGATTTGCAAAGGCCCTTGATGGTTTCCACTGCCTGGAGACAGCATAGAGGGCGGCCGTGACTCCACAAGTTCCACACACACCATTTTCAGCTTTTGCTCACTGGGCCACACAGACCTTTGCCTGAGGCACTGCTACTTTAAAAAAATAAATAAATAAAACAGGCTGCTCAACAGATTTGCTGGCAAGATATGGATCTTGCATTTAATTCTGTCTGAGCACTCATTAGACGTACTTATGCACATGCATGTTTTTATTTACCAAGGACTGGCACACCCATGTCTGGCTTACTTTGCAGCCTTTGTTCAGAGACCTGGCAAGGCTTTCCAAAAACAGAATCCCACATTAAAACACATTACTCCATTTGCAAACAACGAGGTTTGATTTTGCTTTCGGTAGTTAATTCGGAGGAGTAAATCTCTCCTGTTTGAGCATTCACAGCTCATGAGCAGAGAGGTGTGAACGCAGACAAAGCAAGCAGATTTTTAAGTCAGAGCAAATACTCATGGAAACACAGTGCATTCTTCCAGACTGGCAATTGGAGAGTGTGCAGCAGTGCTGTTTGCTCTAGAGCTGAGTAACTCCTGTCTGGAAGAATCAGAGGCACATAGCACTGACCAAATGATTTGTCACAAATAATGTCAGAGATTTTTGCTCACAATTTGTTTGCAAGCGAGGTTCCTTTCAAACAAAACTGCTGTATTCACAAGCACTCAAGGCAGACAAACTCTAGACTACCAGTGGCTTTGCAAGCTCTGTCCATTTACTCCCCTTAGTTCTCCATCAGGGTGGTGAAACCAGGGGGCTGAGTGAGAAAGAGGAACACCCAGGTTAGGCAGAAGTAGGCAGCAATGGAAACAAGGGGCAGTAGGCAGAAACTGGGACACGGAGTTCCATACAAACACAAGGAAGAACTTCTTAACTGTGAGGGTGTTGGAGTGCTGGAACAGGCTGCCAGAGAGGTTGTAGAGTCTCCTTCTTTGAAGATACTCAAGACTCATCTGGATGCCTACCTGTGCAACCTACTGTAGGGAACATACTTTAGCAGGGCGTTGGACTTGATGGTTTCTAGAGGTCCCTTCCAACCCCTACAATTCTGTGATTCAGGGCAATACTTCCTGCAGAGTCCTGATGGCAGGCACAGATGGACAACCAGACATACCCAGCACCTCCTCCACATTAAGACTAACAGTAAACAGGTCTGCTGTAAGCTCTGAGACACGCTGGAGCAACTGGAGCTGTTATGATAGGTGCTTGTGTTATTTTTGGCTGGTGAATCATTTATTTGCTGGAGAAAAAAAAATGCAGTTTCAGGGTGGCCAGAGGTATTTGTAAATTCAGGCAGCTCCAGACTGTGCAGAGTGTTTGCGCATTCAGCAAGCCAAAGACAGGCAGACTGAGGGCAAATTGTTCCAGCTGCTGCTGGTTGAGGTGAAGAGGTCACCATTCCCAATGTCTGTCCCAGACTTTCCCCACACCAACAGCAGTTGTCACATTCACGCTTTTGCCCAGTCTAAACAGTTCATCTGACTGCTTCTTAGCTCAAATCTGTAATCTCTTTGTCTTAATAATAAAATATAAACCTAAGGGCATAGTACTGTTAAAAAAGATATATATATATTTAATTCACCAAACATTTCATTACTGCACAATCGACAAAGTGACACAGATGGCATGAAGCGATGGTAGGAACGGATGTCAGGGATGTGGGAAGAAAGTTGTGGCAAACAGCCAGGGGCAGAGAGGAGAAGATAATCTGTACCAGCAGCTGTAATGGGTCATGAAGGTCAGCAGCTGGAGCAGGTACTCAAAGGGAGAGAACGTAGGATCATGGAGAAGAGAAATACATAGGGTTACCATTGCATTGAAACTGCATTTGATTCAGGAAAACTCTGAAAATGTCTGAAAACTGGAAGCATGATCTGGAAATGCATGCCTGTCCCGTTTGGAGTCTACCCAGGTACCCACATCTGGTCATTGCTGGAAGCAGGACACAGCGCGAGGCAGATCCTTCATCTGGCACGTGACAGATGCTTGCCAACTGGCCAGGCAGATGCTTGGGCAGCTCACCTGGCTGAGGGTTGGGACAGCTTCATTCAAATAATTGCTTTGGTTCCAGCTGAGAAACTGGTGAAGAGCCATTCTTTTGAGTAGCAATGACATGGGGCTAAGATGTGGGAAGATGATGGGGAAGGTGGCAGTGGGCCATGAGCACTATCAGCCAGAGAGATACACCCATTGCATAGTCAAGCTATACAGTGTTAGGATTTTTTAAAGGTCCTTAAAGTCTGTGAACAAGGCCAGATTGATGTGCGAACAAGTGGTGTCAATGTCTAAGGAAGATAAGCTGATCGCAGCTCTGTGTTCAGTGTTTCTTACCAAGGATACAGATAGCTCCATTTGCTAACACATTGTTCAAATGATGCACTTCAGTTAACCCTTAAAACTCTTTAGAGCTTTACAGAAGTAAAATTACCTTCAGTTTTTAAGATCAAAAATGACCTTTTTTTTTTTTTTAACAGAAGGAACAAGTGGGATAAGTGTCAGCATCTAGATTTGATCTGCATCATTCATTACTGCTGACTTCTAAAGAACACGGGGAAAGTTGACACAGGGAAGGCGACAGGATCAAATGTGTTGTTTAAGTGTGCACAGGAAGAATACCCATCCATCTTCCTTGTGTCCTGAAGCTCTCTGGAGCGTATAAACAACAACACTTCAATGTCACTAGATCGGCCAGTTGGAACAGTCTTGGGACCAGTATTTCAGCAGTTAGTATGGATCATACACAGTCTCTCTGCAGGGGAATCACAAGATCTTTTTCTAGATCTGCTAATGGAATTGAAACATAACTTCTTAGAAACACTGACAGATATATCCACTATTGATCCCTACTGAGCAAAGATAAGGCTAGGGAAAAATATGTTGTGCTCACACATTATATGCCAATGAAACATGTTCGGTTATGGCATGGTGTAATCAAGTTTACAGAATATCAAAAGCATGTTTGGTCCTCGATGCCAT